CTACGATGCATCCGCGGAAACGGGGCACGTCAGCCGAATCCACGTCGCCTATTGGGTTAGAGCCTACCTCACCAGCACCGCGATCATAAACAATAAATAGCCGGCAAATGTTTCCTAAAAGTTTTGTTAAATAATATTCAGATCCACATTTTGTAGTATAATTAGAGATGTGTGGCGAAAATTGCCAAATTTGATAATGCTGAGAGCCAAGCGCCATCTACCGTGTGGTAAACGAAGCAACTACTGCGCGTGCGCAGTAGGGCAGGTCCGCGTTCAGTTACTTGGGTCACAACGGCCGTCGAACGTTTTTTTCCTTTGATTTCCTTCCTCTCAAAACTCTGACTAACTGAACGTTTATTTTTCTATGTGTTCTTCTCGCGCGTGCCGACTTCAAGCAGCAAGAAAAAAGTAATTAAAACAGATCACGACGAACAATAACGCTGGCCACGAATCTACCGACTCCAACGAAGCGAGCTGCTCAGAATATAGGCCTAGCAGGCACTCCGACTCGGCGCAGCGTTGCTTCGTCACAAGACCGTCTGCCTACGACCGGCTGGCATGCTGAATGGAATATGCCCGCACTACCCTTGTGGACCCTTCCCGTATTATAGTTTGATCGTTGACCTCAATTTTAGATTAAGAGGTGAGGTCAATCTCTTCCCCTTGTTTTCCGAGGCAGTGTTGACGAACACTCGTCGAAAAGGGACTCTCGTCGATTCTATCTTCTTGTTTTCTGTGATATAGAGCTGAAATAAACGCTGTATGGATTACCTTCGTAACACGGTATTGTACACTTTGTTATTGGTATGCCATTTTTATTCTGACAGACTGCACGTCACTGTCGAGCTATAACAGTTCGTGGGAGGTGTGAGAATCGGCCCGCCATCACCGTGAAAGGACGCGGGAACAGGCTCTTTTCTTGGCGTGTTTGCGTTTGCACGTGTGCCCCGGTGTGTGGGTGAACTGGCGACGCTCGCGCGAGCTGGGGCAGAGAACATTTTTTGAGAAGAGAGGACGACGAGGACAGCACGTTGTGGGACCTTTTTGTGACATTCGGAAACCAGTTTGGCTTGTAAATAGACGTGTTTTTTTTATTCCTCCTATCCGCGGAGTCCTGTCTGGTTTATTGTTCCGTCAGCGACCATCAGCTGCCTCCGTTGTCGGGTCCCGGCGCAATCTCCAAGAAAGAACATCTTTACTGGAGGTATACGTGCAATGCCGGTCCAACCTTTCTTTGCCGAGTGTCGCGTCAGTATCGAGTTGAATCGTAAAAGATCGGTTCCGAAGCGCTTACCAACAGCGCGAATACAGCACTTCCATCAAACGCGCGCGTCCGCTCCGAGTGTGAACAGGTATTTACGTGGCTCTTGCTGACACTCGTAGTTCAAACGTATCTTTTTTAATGTCGGCTCGCTCCTGCATCTCCGAGGCCGCGAAAAACGTCGCGGCAATTTGTTTCCATCTACGTCGCTTTGCAAACGACTGACACGGGCCGGCCCTTTTGCCAACAATGACAGTTGGGTTGACTTCTGGAGTCTTCACCGGAAGACTCGCTGCACTTCCCAACAGGCATACCGGCGTATGGGACTAGTCCCATGCTGTCGCTGTAGCGCAACATATCTCGTTAAATTTCGCTCAGCTGCGATGCAGCGATGAGAGGCGCCGATTCAGAAAATACGTCGGTGACATCAGCGCAGTAAAACCTACCGGCGCACCCCAACTCGTCGCCGCTAACGCTCCCATTCTCCTACTGCCGAGAGAACTTCTGGTTCCGGAAACAGCGTACGTCACGGCTTGTTTTGCGGTCAGTTGGAGAGAAAGAAAAAGTCAATATTTCATTAATTTTTTGTGCAGAAGTTAATAAACCGAGACAAAAACGGATGCCTGTTCGGCATTCAGTGAACATTGACGGTTTAACGTAAAAGTTATCTGGAAAAAGTAAAAAGGTCCTTTCATGGTCCCTTTAAAGGGCAACTCCAGTCCATACTTTTGATTTTGGGATTATGACTTTTTTTAGTGCAGTTAGCGTCCCTGAATTGCAAGGTGTAATGTTTTTCTCATTATTGTGTGCAGTTTTAAAGATATCGACACCTCAAAGTTTTGTTCGGGGAGCGGCCAACAAAACCGAAACTAGCCGCTATGTGAACGTGACGTCAAGATCGTTCTCGTTCAACGAGTACGCAGGCCAAGCGGCACCTACCTCTGTTGTGCTAGCCGTCTAAAGATAGGAGGTAAGCTGATTTTGTTTTAATTCTGTATGCGTGGTAGTTATCCAGCACATGTAGCGAGAGTTGGTGCGTATACCCAAAAGCTAGCGACTGAAAAACCCGTGAAATTGTACGGTGCCGTACTCAGCGGCCGCCACTGTGCTTGCGCTATGCCGTACTCGTCACTTGCATACCCAAAAGCTAGCGACTGGAAAACGAGTGAACTTGTAAGGTGCCGCACTCGGTGGCTGTCGCCATCTGTGCGGTCTTCCGTACTCGTCGCTAGGCCGAAATAGTCATCGGGGCTCCATGGATGGAGCGGTGTTGCTCTACGTGGCGCTGCCAGTGACGGACAGTACTGGGGGCCCTCTCGGATTCGTGCTGCGGGTCAGTCCCAGACACAAAGCTTTGAGGCTCTCCGGTGTGGGCTGCGGCGCCCGAACACACGTGTGCTGGGCTGTACAAGCCTATTTTTTCGGGTTTTTTTTTTTCTCTCGGGTGCGTAAAAGCCAAAGTCCAAAGTCCACTCAACAAACAGCGTTCACCCACACCTTCTCCAATTTGCGGTACCTTGGAAACTTGTGAAAAAGCACCTCCGGATTGCGCAACGGGTTGTTTGAGCAGCCCACAGCACTCCAAGTTGCACTCGGCATCTTTCGAGGAAAAGCTGGGCAGTCTTGGGCACACCGAGTTGCTTGCTAAAACGAGTCTTGAAGTCCTCACAAGCCAATAAACAAAAGGCTATACCGAAGCTACATGGGCTACAGATAAAAGCAACGGCTAAACACGCCAATCACAAGCCAAAGTAGCGGTGGTAACGGCTCAAAGAAGCGCACTCCGCGCAATGCCCGGACCGGAGGAAAAATTGAGAACGATACTGACGTCAGGGCCCAATGTCGCTTTAGCGATCGGCAACCCGCTGGCCGCCCGCTAAGGAGCAGCGGCTCGCGGCGGGTCGCATTTTTATTATCGGCATTAGTTGAGAATGCGGCGTCCCCCAGACGTAATATTTTGGCTGGGGTCGTATTTTGTGTCACTACAGCGATACCAGTAATTTATTTCATCTTGAGTTTTGGCAAGAGTTGCCCTTTAAGTGAAAAGATCAATGCAATTTCTGGTGCTCGGAGCGTAACAGCAATGCTTCTATAGCAGCAAACAAAGTATGCCGCCATGTGCGCTTTTCTTCCACGATATTGTTGCACACCACTCATCGCCGCCACTTGGATGAGTCAAGAGAGGAGAAGTATATCTTCTCTCATGCAAATCAAAGTTTACAAAAAAAAGCGCCCTGTTCTCTCTTTTTTTTTAGTAATGTTATCAGTCTACTGCACTTTGCAGTCTGTGCTCCCATGTACGCCTCCCGTGAGCAAACTTCTCACACTGCCGTGATTCGCGAAAACGGTCGTTTCCAGATTTCCAAGGAATACAAGGAGCATTGCAACTTTCAGGGACATTTAAGCGCGCTTGAAAGGCTTTTATCGAAACCCCAGGTATTCAAGGATTTGAAGAAGCTGCACAAACCTTGCAGGACTCGTTTATGACGTTCGCTCGTGTTGATCGCTCGTCACAATCCTTTGTGACGATCAATTATGAGGCTAAGTGCTAATGCTTGTTTATGACGATTTTCTCATAGAAAACAACTTAAAAGCACATTCTGCGTTAAAAAAAATTATTGTGACTCGTAATTTGTGTTACTACTTTAGATGTATCTATTAATATGTTTAGCCTATTCTGAGGGAAATTAGTGACTATATTAATATGCTGAGCTTATTCTGAGGGAAATCAGTGACAATCGAAATTTCACAGGAGCAGCTCCTTGACACCACCATAGCAGGCGGAAATCATCATCCGCAGCTTTATTTTGTGTCACCCGTAGCACAGCCAGCAACAAACTGTCTGCAAGGCTGCTTCTTTCTTTGGGAACCAAGCCCCTCGTCTCGGTTTCGTCCCTTAATGGTACCAGGATGATTACCAACTATCCCAAGTTACGTGCATGTTTTCTGTTTTCCTGTTTGCTTCCCATTTTCCTGTGTCGCGTTTTCTTTATTGGAAGCCCCATTAAATGCCAACGTTTTGCCCAACATCAAAAACAAAACCCAAATCCGAGAGAAAACCAAAAAAATTACGGAGATGCTTTCAAAATTTAAGAAAATAGACCATAAAAACTTTCAGCCTTTCCACTCTGGTAGAGAAGGCAGACCAGCAAAGCTGTACTATCGTGGGACGACCTCAAAGACAACTTCTTTTACGACCTGAAGGACGACGCTTAGAGGAGGACGTCTAGGACATCTAGAACAACCTCAATGATGACCTCAGGGACGACGTTTAGGACGACCTCAAGGACGACGTCTAGGACGACCTCAGGGACGACGTCTAGAACGACCTCAAAACAATGTTTAGGACGACCTCAAGGAGGACTTCTAGAATGACCTCTAGGACGACCTCTCGGACAACTTCTCGGGCAACATCAAGGACGACTTCTAGGACGACATCTAGGACGACGCCTAGAGAAATTCAGCTTTTCCACTCTCGTGAAAACCAGAGTGGAAAGGCTGGAACGGTTCCCGCCATCTATGACCAAGGCCGGTAAACCGGTTGTCTGGTTGCTGCCGTCACTCATAGATGGCGGTAGCTGTCCAGAATTTTGTGTCTACATTTCTTTTGTGGGGGACACGATCTCGGGCAAACTAGCCCTTAAGAGCTCCGCTGTAAAACACAGAACCCCGAGTAAAAGGTATACTCGTATTGGTCGATGCTCGGGAGTAACTACGCATGGCATCTTCAGTCGCTCACCCGTGTGAATGCGTATGTGGTTCTTGTAGTTGGTGGCGCTGGCAAAGGCACGTCCACAGCCCTCCTCCTTGCAGACGTAGGGCCGCTCGCCCGTGTGGGTGCGCATGTGCACCTTGCGGATGTTTGACGTCGTGAAGGCCCGGTCGCAGCCCTCGAAGGGACACTTGAACGGGCGCTCCCCTGCACCCAAAGACAAAGAGGGAGTGTTGGAACACTTTTTTGGCAGGGGTTTCTGCATTGAGGAAGTTGCATAACCTTCCCCCCCGCCCCTCATGACACAATGTGCAGTGGTGATAACTCAGTTAAACCAATGCTCCCCTTCACCCAAGAATGAGAGAGTGTTTGGGCACCCTTTCAGTGGGCATTCCTCCAATTAGAGATTGAACAGGACCTCCGTCATAACGCCACTCACGGTGCTAATAATTCGGAATAAAACTTTCCTCTATACTTTGCATATGCCTAACTGACGCAGAATGCGTGATGTGTTTGTGCCGGCCCGTTTCAATCTGTTTCCCCCGTTTTGAATTGTTTGGCTTTTGGAGTTGATGCCACTACAAATTGCATGGCTATATGGTTGGTGCCACAATGGGTCACATGACAACATGATCACGTGACGTGACATCAGGTCACATGACGTGATGGTATCACGATACATCCCATCCCAAGACGTCAGTGTCTTGTGACACGGGGACACAGCTTGAGTCAACATGTTCTACAAAATGTTAAACAATGCATTATGCAAAAAAATAAACAAGATAAATGGAATATTTACATGATGGGCTAGAAAAGTTTATCTCACGATTATGCTACATATAAGTGCAACAGAAAAGAGTTAATTAGCTGAGCTATAAATGTGGTCCAATCCGTTTGGGTAACAACTTTTTTTAAGCAGGTAGTTCCAGTCAACCGTTGTTAATGGCAAGGTAGAGTAAACAAATGAAAAAGGTAAGCAAAAATAGGGCAAACCTTACATACAGTAAAACCTCGTTATAACAAAGTTGAAGGAGCGGTCGTAATCATTTCGTTATAACCATTAGTTTGTTATAGCCAATGTTCATTTCTTCCCACTATTGGCAAGCAAGGGGAATTATGATTGTTTTGTTATATCCATTAGTTTGTTATATCCCATTTTGTTATAATGAGGTTTTACTGTATGCCTTAATGCAGCAAAAATGTAACGGAGTAGACATAGCGATAAAATCCTTATGTCACGAATACGATAGTAAATTTGATAAAATTCACTATCATAACCAAGCATGCGTAATAAAGTTTCCTTCTGAATGTGAGTAAATTGAGGATAGGTTTGTAGCGGTGAGACGGGCGCGTGATATTGGACAGCTGTGATGTGAGGACCTGCAAGGTGTTGGTAATTGCTATTATTTTACTGGGTCAAAATGTCAAAGTAGACAGGAAAAGATTGGACGCTGTTGCTAGAGTCCCTTGCACCGACAGTGGAACGTCCTAAGCAGTCGCAAGCAGGCAGAGTGCACTCGAGCACACTAAAAAGCTAATGCGTGGACCAGCTTAAAAAGGCGACCAAAGTGGCTTCCGAGATTGTCTATGTATGGACATAACATAACTTCCCTATTAGAAACTAGATAAAAATCGCGACATGCCCGTTTTCCAGCGATGCGGTGCAGAAACCAGAGGGAACCGCCGAACGCGCGACAGTGAATCGCGAGCGATCGTTTGCAATTCATAATGGCACGTCCGAGGGGCCAACCGATCGCGGTCTGATGTTCAAATGCGTGCAATCCGCATGCGGGAAGCGATCACTTGCGATTGGCTGTCGCACATCCGAAGGCATCCTCTGGCCCTTTTAAGGAAGAATGAGGGTTTTTAATATAACGAAAAATTTAAAAATTGCTGAATTCTCAAAAATCTATTTTTTTACATTATTATTATTATAGCCTTTCGTATTTCCTTAGAAAATATGATCACTCAATTTAACCCCTGGCTATTCTGAAAACAGCAAAATTCAGCTACCAAAAAGCCTGATCTATAAAGCATAGAAAGTTCAGAGTGAGTTTCTAAATTTTGACTTTTTTGTCGAGCACCATTGCCTTATGAAGGTTATGACAATGTCCTCGCGAATAGATTTCAGTAAACCTGATATCGTTTCTTTAGCCTATAACTGAACTACATCCTAAAGCTTTACTTTTTATTTTTATTGCTAACTCAATAAAAACAAGAGTAATTAGCCGGAATTTTAGGTAATTATCGTCCCTTCATTTTCACAATGCAACTTTATTTTTAATAAATAACGTCACTTTTTAAGTATTCTATTAGCTTTTGGGCTGTATGTGGGCCCCTGGAAAAAACCATAGGTACTTAAAAGAAAGTTGAGTAATGCGGATTCTTGGGCGAGTTGGTACTGAAACTTTGAGAACATGATAGAGCTTCCAAACAAGGATGAGAGTTGTGTTGTCTTGTTCTTAGTCTCGTCCCTGTCCTGAAGCAGTATCACATTTTCAGTTACTTGGTGAGAAATCACCTTAGTAATCCATAAAAAATGACCTAATAAAGATTATATACTTTGCCTCACCTTTCGGTGGAGAAAAGGTATTTAAGATTGGACTGCACAGATTCAAAATCAGCACAAAGAAATACACCAGTGTTTGAATTTGTGGAGAAATAAGAAAACACTCCAAAGAACTTGCAGCAATGCTCGAATTGACCGACCCGTGTGGGTGCGCACGTGCTTCTGCAGGTCCCCCGATGTCTTGAAGGTCTTGGTGCAGTGGTCGTGGGTGCAGCGGTACGGTGTCTCCCCCGTGTGCACCCGGGTGTGGCTCTTGAGGCCGTAGCCCGTCACAAAGCTCTTCTGGCAGCCCGACACCTGGCACTTGAACGGGCGGTCCCCCGTGTGCGACCGCTCATGCACCTGCACACCCACACCGCTCACTTAAAAGGCGGCTGAAACAATTTTAACCTTGAAAGAATTGGCAGCTTGCATTTTAGTGCAGAATCATTCCCGAGGAAAGTGTGACCGAACACCATGGTAAGTATAGAACAGGTCGTTAACGCTGTGGCATAGTTTTCTGGTAACGACTGCGCTAGTCGAACCTGGGACGTGGCGGACCCAGGTTCGACTTCCGTGAGCGGCAGGCAATCTTTGTCAAGGATTCGGCAACGTCGACGACGGATGCCCCACAAGGCCAACTACAGTCAAACCCAGATATACACAATTCAAAGAGGATCGTAAAATAGTTTCGATATATCAATAATTTGATATACAAAAATATGTTAACTTAAAGGGGTACTCCGGCGATTTTTGGAGCTACCTCAACTAACTATATTTTCTGACTCTCCGGCCTATGCCCTTTCCGGTATGCTATTTAGTATCGGAAAATTCATAATAGTTATTGCGAAATCGGCAAATGAAAATGATGCAAAAACCAACATTCAAATATACCTGCACTTTTCGGTGCCGTGACGTCAGTGGAAGGCAAGCTTGCCAGTCGAGCGAGCAGTCTAAAAAATAGAATATGCCAATCATTTGTTCCATGCTGGAGCGCGGGGACTAGAGCGAGCTTCTAAAGCATTTATTTGACGCCATGAAACTGCTTCGAATCAGTTGGGAACAAATTCTACAGTCCAAAGATTGAACCCCTGCACTTCCACTGACGTCACTTTTTCGTTGTTGCCAGTAGACTTTCAGTTTGAAAAACACGGTGAGGACCAAAATTGTAAATTCAATAACTTCGTTAAAAAAGTTATTTTGACCTAATATTTGGGATACTATTTTGGCGATGTTGTTCGGTGAATTTAGCAAAATTTCAAGCAAATCAGGGACCATAAAGAAATCGCCGGAGTACCCCTTTAAGCTAAAGTATAAAATTCCTGGCGTCTCTGTTAATACCGAAGGTCGCGACAAGCAGGAGCTTACCAAACAGAACATCCCCCAAACAGAGCATCCCAGAGCCGCTAAATACAGTAGAGCGTACCTGGCAGAAACCGCAAGCACCACCGCGCTCACATGCGCGCCTGGCCGGGACCTCCACACAGCATAAGTGACAAAACACAAAAATAGTTTTATAAAAATTTAAGAAAAATAGAAAAGTGATTGCATAAAACAAATCTCTTGATCCACAGAAAAAGTTAAGCAAGGAACAAAAAAAAAAAAAACTCACTAAATTCAGGGAACAAAAAAAAAAAAAAAAAAAAAGGAAAAAAGAAAGATTTTTACCATTCTCTTAAATGTTGAATTAGAGCGCAGCTCTTGAGGAGGAGGAGGGGAGGGTCACGTGACAAATAGAGACCACTTTTCCGCGGCACTTGCAGGATAGCTCTAAAAATTATTATTTTTTGGTGTAAATTCGTTTTATGACTTCCTTTTACCAACCCGGATGCTAGAAAAAAATGTTTTTTTTCCTCGGCATGTGTCCTCTAAAACTGCCAAAGTGTAGGAATGCAAAAACATCTGTATATGTAGCGTATTCCTACAAGCCGCGCGTTGTGCTGAGCTTGGCCGGTCGACCTGTGTACATGCTGCCCGGGCGAGCTCTGCGGCCGGCCAATCTGCAGAGCCTTGCCACCCTCTCCCTCGGCTAGTCCGCTGCACCATGACAGTGAGGTGACATTCCTTGCAACTATGCCGTGCATTAGCCAATGGGAGCCTATCAACCAATTCGCTGCTACACACTACAGGCTTTGCTATCTCCAATAGGGCAATAGAGGTGCCATTTGGCACGGCTTCAAGAGCTGATAACGCCGGTTCGCTCCATGGGTCAGTTCGTGCTTTCACAATAAAAAAGCAGACTCCTTCGCCACAACAAAAATGGGTAGTTGAGCGTTTGGTTCCCTTACTGACGCGAGCGGTGCCGGGGATCCACTTGGCGCCACCGCGTTCGAACCATTCAGTTTTCTGCAAGCTCTGTCCGCCACGCGAGTAGGACGTCCACGGAGCGCTTGTGCGCTTACCTCGCATGACACTGGACCATTTAGTGCCATCCGGTCTCCACGTGTGTACGCATCTCCTTCACGCTAACGCGTCACCTTTTGTTTTACCGTCTTTGCCATGCTACTACGGAAAAGGGGAGACTTTCGTTTTGTCTTCGCACAAGTTAGCAGAAACGCCCTGTGCTTCTATGGTCACCGATGAGGTGAAGGCCTCCGGCATGCGCTCCGGTGCCTTTTGCCGCGCTATGGTCGCACTTGCTCACTCGAGGCTTCCAAGATGCCAGAGTGCGGGGAAAATACGCTCGTAAGGCATTCATTACTTGTAATCGATTACTTTTCTTAGCAATTTTATAATCGTTCAAATATGTCTATTAGAAACTAATCGTGAGAGTAATCTGACTTCCTTTAGAAGCTTTAAAATTACTCGCATCTGTTTCGATTGTTTTCCTCCATTTTCTCGTGGCACCTTTTGCTTCTACAAGTTTCCTGTCGAGCAATCCTCGAACCGAGTCTCTGACACGAGGACGGCTTATTGAAGTTGGCCAATTAAAGAGACGAGTACAGTCACCGACCGTTTTTTCGGACTCCGATATTTCGGACTTGTTGGATATTTCAAACGTAAAGGTGGAACCGTGACTTTCCGATAGAAATAGTGCATATTCACGACCAATGTTTTGGACAGCCTGAAGTCCGAAAGTTAGATTATTCGGACAAAATCGTTGCAAGCCATCAGCGGAAAGCACCATCAAGAAGCGGCCACTTTGAATTCTATGTTGGCTGCAAATGGATTGGCTTTGTTTGGCAGCGCTACTTGAGTACTCCTGAGTACTCCAGCTAGGTGAAGCTATGCTAGCCCTTTTTTCCATTTAGCTGCATGTCATCATCATCATCACCATCATTATCATTTTGCTTTGTTTTTCCGTTCCTTCGCGTTGCCAGTCGCCATTTCGCGCTTGTGGATTTGCACTTCTTATCTGGTTCGGACAGCGCTGGCTTGGATGCTATGGACCCATCTGTTGTTCTGCCGTCGCAATGTGTCGTTAAGAAGCGCAGAAAGTACTCGACCATAATGCTAGAAAAGAAGGCAGTGATTCTCAAGCTAACAGAAAGTTTCCGAACGCAAACAAAGGCGTAATTTGAAACAAGGCACTATTTACGGTTTTTTTAAGCCCACTTGGAAGTAATAAAGGCAAGTTTTTCAATCTGCTGATTTTTTGGACTGCTCTATTATTCGGACGTTTTTTGGTCCCTGCGAAGTCCGAATAATTGGTCGGCGACTGTGTTTTATAATTCGGTGATTTTAATTCAATAACGTACGGCACCCTTTTTAAACGGGCAGAAAATTCTGTCGTCCTGAAAAACAGAAGCAATCGCGAGAGTGACGGCTGCTTTTTTAAGTAGCAGTCACTTCCTATTCTTCTCGAATCACCGAACTGAATTCATTTCAGCCGAGAGTAATTGCAATTGTAATCGAGAAGTTTTTTTCGAGTAAAGTGTATGAGTCTGCATAAGAAGGTGGGAAGCTTGCACCGGAGGGGAGACGACAAAACCGCGCCGTCCCCATTCCATCAGCGACTACGGCTACGGCACCTGAAACCGGCACCCGACCGGCGCGTCGACGGACTGCGGAAACCTCGGCGGCCAAAAGTCGGGACGCCGCGACGACGGCGACGCAATGTTCCGGCTCTTTGGACGTCATCTGTTGCCCCTTCAAGACCGCTTTTGACGCGCGGGCGGAATGGGACGCCAAACGCGCCGGGCACCGCACCGAGGTGAACGCATCCCTTGCAGATCCCGACACTGACCTTGAGGTGGTGCGGCGTTGTGTAGAGCTTCCCGCAGCCGTCGTAGCTGCACTGGAATGCCTTGCCCAGGGTCACTGTGCTGGGACTCCCCGAGGCCACCGAAACGTTCTGTTCCGAGGAGAAAACGACAACGGAGCGGTTCTACTCATCCAATCGCATACATTCGACGATCTTGTTTATTTACTTGCAATGTATTTTAAAATCTAATCCATAAAATTCTAAAGAAAAAAAAAATAGACACTTGGTAAAAGTGTGGTGGTTCCAGAAAACGTTAAATTTAGGGACTGCTAGTTGTGAGAAGCTTGACCGGTCTTTTTCTGTACTTTGGATTCTCGAACACTGTTTCGATTTCCATCTTTTCTTTTTATTACATTCTTCCCATAACCGTCAAAAAGAATGTCACGTATAGTTTCTCCACTGGTTTTGTAAATATACTGACTAATGTGATAAAACTGTTTCTTAGTTACACTTTTCTTTTATTTCTTAACTCAAACATGCTGTTCCCTTTAACGCCAGAGTCCCACTGGAGCGACAGACAGAAACAACCGACACCGACAAGTTTCGTGTGCGCGCAGCATGCATGCAACGGTACTTTAGGCAGGTTGCAGTCTCTTGGTACGAGCGATTAGAAACCTGCCAGATACCTCCGCAAGCATGGGGCTTGCCAGTGTCAATCATTTCCGTTTGGCACTCCATTGGGACTCGGGCATAAGGGGGGATGCTACCTCACAATTGCAACTTATCTTTTTTAGAAGCCACATTTCTTAAAAGTAGTCTTATCACTTATCAGCATGCTCTTCAGGGATGCTGTCAACAATGTGCCATCCCAGCAACCAAACTATTTTTTCCACAATAAGTTATTTTCGAGGTGCCAGGACCACCCCATGTGTAACATTCGAATGCATTTGTCTCAGTCTCACTTTTTGGCATCAAATCTTGGTTCAGAAAAACTATAATTTCATAATATAGAATGATGTGTGGAGGCAGTTTTTGGAATTCCTTTATCAAAATTTCGTAAGGAACTTGGCAGTCAACTTACTTTCTACATTTTTGTGTTCTTTTGTCATAAAAGGACGCCATTCCCTCAACCTAATGTGTGAAAGAATTTTTTTTTTTACATTTTCATTTTTTTATTAATGTTTGCATAATTTTGGTAATTTCTTTCCACAGCTGTATGATGCAGTTGCTATACTAAATGTTTAAAAAAAAAAAAATATGCATCTTTACGTGGTGAATGATGTTGACTGGGGTGAAGCTCTGGTGGTGCTCGTCTGCGTAGACGCTGAGCCACAGCATGCCGAGCCTTTCGTTCGTTTTCATCCATGTCACGCTGCGGTCAAATGCTCAAATGCGTATATAACCATGTTCCATTCCACACATTCTCTTTCTGACATGGATGACAGCAGAGTCGGCGTATAGACCGTCGACTGCGGTGGTGCCGTCGACAGAAATGCGCAGACGCTTCACTTCACGCAAATTCGGTTTCTGCGCACGCGCAGTGCCCACACTTGGTGTGGGCAAACGCGGGCTTGTTTGTAAACAGCGTGTCGGTCTATAGAAAGTCGTCGAAGTCGTCGTTGTCAGGGACGGCCCCATCGCCTAGGAAACTCCGTGGCCCAGGACAACAAAAAAAGCATGTTTTTAGTTAGGCCTCGAAACAAACTAACTAAGTAGCACGACCGAAGCCAATGGACGAAACGCCGGCAGCTCTAGTGTCCTCTAGTGGCCGTTCTGTACACCACACTCGCCAGATTAGACGCCCTCTCCCCAGAGCATTGGGTGCATTGGGCCAGATGGGCGGCCCATTTCACCCTTTGCGCTTTATCAAGGGTCCGTTTCAGCGCGTGTGCATTCCAAAATCTCCTTTGGGACCCAAAAGTTTGTGCCAAATTGTTCATGAAATTTCGGCAAACGAGACTTCGTTACATAAAGGTAAAAAATACATGTCGTGTATACACGGTTAGAAAAAGGTAAAAAATACATGTAAAAGGTAAAATGTAAAAATACATTTTACCTCCCTGTAAAAATACAGGGAGGTAAAAAATACATGTCGTGTATACACGGTTAGAAAAAGTTTCGTACTTCCTTACATTGGGGGTTTCGTTGCATAGAAGTTTGTTACATCGAGGCTTGACTGTATAAGAAAAGAAATAATTTTTATATACATATTATGCTTTCTTATAAGTAAATATAGGATATAAAGATAAAGAGGTTAGATTTTATTGTGGTTTTAAAGTTATTATGTCACATGACCTTACAAAGTTTAAGACAATTTATCAATTTTTCACCGTTTTCTAACACTAATAGCAAAGACCATGCATCATAAAAATAGTATTAATATATGTCTTTATAGGAGGTATTCACTAGACGCCATATTTGAGGTAACTGCTCACAGCGCATGCCCGAGAAGAGTTTCCTGTCAGCTCTCGGGCAACCGCTCGAGAAGAGAGGAAGGAGAAATTCTCTTATCACCAGGACTCTCCTTTGTAGGTCCCAGGCTTCCCCAAACGTCGCTATTCTCCCTCTAGAAGATTATAGAAGATTAATGTGCCACTCAAAACTCGTACAAAAGCGTCTTTTCCCTCTCTCTCTTCTCCGGTGGTAAGAAAGCAGCAGCGAGCTCAGCTATGACCGCCAGTGAAAACTCCCTATAGTTATATTGTTTAGCAGTCGCACACTTGTGTGGGTGGCGCGCGTGCCATCCGTGCGTGTGGGCATGGTTGGCTAGCGCGGGTGCGGCCTCCATTGCCTTCACCCATGAGTGCACGTAACTGAAGCAAGGGTGCAGGCAAGCTGGTTTAATACAGACATGGTAACCCCAGCTCCAGGGTTACCATGTCATGTGTGCATCACTGCCACGACGAAGCGGTTAAGGTTTGTCGTGTGTGGTTGGATTGGTTCAGGGCGTATCTCACATGCAGCAAAGTGCTGATGTAGCGCTGCTCACGTGTCATCAGCCATTTATCGTCTGCCATGACCAACAGTTCTGACGGTGGGATACGAAGCTGGTGAACGCTCCCGTCAGCACGCACTTAGCGCAAGGTCAGCGCTATGCTTGTAGCACTCGGCTGCATGTGTGAACAGGCCCTTAGTGTGAGTTTCAGTGCATCAAAGAGGAGAAATGCGAGCCCACCACTCCATACGTTCTTGACTTGCGCGCACGCTCGCGCAGTCTGAATTTCTGCAGACTACCCACTCGTGCTTGAAGCTGTAGCGCACACAGACCGGAAGTCGATTCCTGCGTGGAAGTAGCCAAGTCGGGGAGGGCGGGCGGTACATCCACACCGGAAGTAACCTAGTGCATGGATGGAGCCTCATCTCCTCCCGACTTAGCTACATCCCTGCGCGTGGATGTAGACACTCCCAAAAAAAAAAAATCAAGACAACTTAAATTTTTATAACATCATAACTTACATCAATATGGTGAAGGAATGCTTCCGCCTAAGATGAAATGCAGCCTGTGCCCTCTAGGTGACTAGTATGCAGCTGAAAAAATCTGCCTAACCTATAGGCTTTGGTCCGGGCATTTCAGCACAACCAGCTATTTCCAATTACAAATTCCGCTGACTGGGTGTTAGCTGTCAGTAAAGCCAGTTTGATGCCGAAACACTTTCATTTTAGGAGGAAATATTCTTTTATCTTACCATAAATTTCTTCACCTTGGCAACTACTTCTGAATGTTTCAACAAAACTTTAAAAATCCCTAAAATAGGTCGCTTAAAAAAAATATTCTTTCTGGAACAAACTGTTAGGCCCAGGAGATGTCAGGGATGGCAAAAAAACATACCAATTAGCTAATAATTATTGAAAACTTACTAATACATTTTTTTGAGTTAGTGAAGATAAACGTAAGGTTCCAATTAGAAATTTGCTAAGCATCATTGAAAATTACTAAATCAACTTGTTTTAAAAGGATATAAGGCAGAAGCAGCATTTTACGGCGTTCCAAAAAATTTCCTAATTTCGATACAGTTTTAGGTTTCGACTTTCTATTGGCGCAGATCTTTTTTCCAATGGTTCTCCTCATCCAAGTGGCCGAGGTGCACAACGCACATGTGCCATATTCCCATCCAATGAATGATGGCTATACGCCTCGTCCATGTGAAGGCAGGACTGCTGGCACAAAGATGTGTTCTGACAGAAAACTAAAACCTACAAATGCGTCCAAATGAAGTTTTTTTTGTTTTTTTTTAATGCCGTGAAATGCTGTACCTGCCTTATATTTTCTTGAAATAAGTTGATCTAGTGGTTTTCGATGATGCTAATAAAATTTCTAATTGAAACTCGAAACTCATGTTCATTTTCACTAATTTAAAACTCAGTAAACTTCAGTTACCGTTTTTTCCAGTGTATAGGTCGCAGTTTTTTTCAAACATTTTCCTTGGTGCGTCTTATACGACAATGTGACTTTTATGCATTTTATTTTTACTTGACTGTACAACAATTTTTTTTTATGCGCCACGCGCCATCTTTTGTGAAGCACTGAACTACGTAGCCATAGATGTGTTGCCCCTTCCAGGAGGCACTGCAGTCAACGCACTCTTCTACACTTTTCGTAACCGACTTGGAAAGCGAGAAATTTTACGGTTTCCCCAGAGCGGCTCAATGTGAATAGGCGAGACAGTGAGAATAAAACTTTTGCTGCATGTGATCGACATTGCTTAATTCAACCCCGGTTCTGTATTCTTTTGGCTCAGTCCAGCAACACTAAAAGGTAAGGGGGCGGGTTTACATGCATTACAGAAAATGTTCCGACATCTTTCTTAGTTTTTGTTTGATGAGCAGTTTTTATCTACCACGCTCCAGCTGTGTTGCGGCATGTAAAAGAAAGAATTGCGGCTAGCCAATCTTTTAGCAGTACCCCAGGAAGTGTGTCGAGACTTACCTATCTGCCTGCGCGCCGATGCTCGCGTCGTATCCTAGGCTAGGCCTAGTGGTCCTAAAGCTTGGTTAACGAGTGTCTGACACGTTGAATTTTCCTTCACTCAGCATGTGTACATGTTAATAACGCAGAGAGCCCTCATTTGCTGCGAATCCCTCGATTTCCTCCGCCAGACACTGCCGTGCTACAGGCATTTCTCGCAAGTCAAAACGTGAAAGTTGCACGTCAAATGGTACATGCGATCTAGCTGATTGTGCGCAACTCCGATTTCGCGATACCAATGCGCGTAAGATGAAAAAAAAAAACTCATTGCGTGAACAGTGCAAAGAGGTGCGACTAATACAAATTTAGCACCTTCCCCCACCCAATGCAGCTACATCGAATCTCAACACCAATGCTGCCGTGCTTCAAATGTGTCGAGTGGTATTTGTGCCAAATCTTAGATATTGCTGCAAATTGCCACAATACTGCAAACATGGGGTTCGCAATACGCCCGGTTGAGACGCCAGTTTCTGAAGGCCGTTTGACGCGAATGGGCAGAAAATAAAAGACAGACTCACCACTTTGATCTGACTGATGGTGTCCTCCTCTTGACTGCCGTCGCTCGACGCCTGTGGATGGTTCCATTAGCAGTTAGTGCAATAACAGTCAACTACTTAACTGATCAATCAAATCACTCGATTAAGTGGTAATTATTCAATCAATCATTGAATCAACCTACTGATCAATCAAATCAATCCATTCAAATTCAAAAACAGCTGAAACCCAGCTGGGATGACAAAAGTATGACTGCCTGTTCCTTCATTTAGGGACAACTCCAAACTGCATAGTTTTATGAAAAAATTACAAGAGGGAGCTTAAGCTTCGCCTTCAAGAGTGGAGAGCAATAGCTAAATACAGTGTAGACCGCATATAACGTATGTCGCGGGAATCGCGAAAATCCGCACTATAAGCGGTACCGCGTTATAACCAAAACATAAATTTTTCAGGCCAAATACATGCCATGAGACAACTTACCTTTGTAAAACAATTTATTTTATGCGAGATGAAAAATAAAGTTTAGTTTGAGGAAAGTCTTTATTTCACCAGACTAGTACACTTCTCTCTCAAGTCTGTCACATATTTTGAAAGAAATGAGCGGCTTTTGCCTGGCGCAGCCTTTTAGCGGCGTCGCGGGTTGCGGACGGACGTTGCGAGCGTTCAGGATTGCTAACCCTAATCACTTTTCTCCGGAGATGAAAACGCGTGAAAATTCGGATCCTTCATACGGTACGCGCCAGTAATACCTTGAACTTGAGCACACGCATGAAATGCGCCAAATAAGAAATCCGGGCGATGTTCGAGGACACAAATGCTTAGAAATCACCACTGTAGTCGAAGTAAACAAACACAACGACACGGGCGTTTCTGCCGTCTTAGAGCGCCGCCACAACATCGCCGCTCGAGTAGGTGGATCTTCCCTTCTAGTACATGCTGGGTTATCATAGCGACACACAGCGAAAATTCACAGTAAAGGATAGCGCTTTTACGCAGAACGATGAGATGAACGCCGTCTAAGACGACGATCACAACCGATGCCATGTTTGCGGAGAAGCAGCCGGCCCGCGACCGGCATGCGACGCGCGCAAACACTTCTCGACCTGCGATTGGTCTGTCGTTGCGGTTGTTTCGGATGTTTTCAAGGAAGCGGAGGGACGCACGCACGTGAACGACACGTGCGTGCGTCCCTCCGTCACTAGGGCAACTGAAGCCTCTCTCTTCGCTTCTCCCGCTTCTTCGAGCAACCTCCTTGCCCCGCGAGTGCCCCTTGCACAACGCTTGCGGCTCGCGCCGTCAGCGCCGTTATATCTAGTGTTGCACAGGGAAGCGTGCTCGCTGCTCCGGTCGTCGGCGCGGTCGGCGGGCTGTTCGAGAAACCGCACTATAACCGGTATTTCCCTTCGCGCACCTGCGTTTTAAGCGGTATGTAATTACATGGAGTTCTATGGGAGGCGAACCGGTGCTTTAAAAAAAACGCGTTATACCCGGTCCTGCACTATAAGCGGTTACTTTGTAAGTGGTCTATACTGTACATATAAACCCCCGCTCGTTCCCAAGCCATGCAAGCGTGTCTGCGTAGCCTTGTTGGTAGCGCGTCTGGCTCACAACCGAAGGGTCATGGGTTCGATCCTGCTTCGCCTCAAATTCCACGATTTTTTTTTTCTTTTTTTTTTATGGTAAATGAATTATTTATTAACCAATCAGGATTTTCCTGTCCCACCAACGCCGGCTTTTCTGTGACACGGGCTCCTTAAAGACCGAACTACACTTTGTGCTTTCCACTTTTGCCCACTTCCTCGTTTCCTCTATATTTTCTCCACCTTTTACCTTGCCCAAGCTTGGCTCCCTTTGCAGCTTGGGAGAGGGGAGCGCTAAGAGGATTATCTTTCCTGCAGAAAACCAAAGTTGTTTGTCGGCCTTCACAGCTGTCGCTGTAAAACTCGGAAGCTCACAAAACGAAATGCCGGTGCAATTGCTTAAGCATCGCACAATTACCTAGCCAGGCATACTTACTTGCATTTCAAAAATACAAGTTTATTTATAAATGTTTAAATAAAAAATATACTCCTAAATGTCAAGTATGAATATTTTTACAGCAAAGCTGTTATGCACTAGGATCTGGGAAAAAAATGTGTCTGCAGATGTTGACAGAAAACTTCCCATTGGTCATGGCAGGTATGAATAATTAAAAAAAAAAAGAGGGGGAAACCAGCATGAGTCATCCTTTTTCGGCACTTTTAGATATAGTCCGTTACAAGTCAAGAAGGTAGGAGAAGCTCCTCCCACAAGCGTGATGCGCCTGTTTTAAATCCCTCCGCAGTCTAAAGAATAGTTAACTGGAAACGCCCCTTGTTCCGCTTCAATGAATAGATATTGGCTACAGAGTGATGCCAACTTGTCTCCGACCCCCACATTTTAAGAAAGCGACCTTTGTATTCATCGGAGAGGAAACAAAGCCCTTGAAAGTGACCTTTGTTTCCATTGGAAGGGGAAAACTCTAATCTCCCGCTTGTGGCTTCCACAACACTAAGTCAAAGTCGAAAGATGAAGCAAATATTTACAAAAAGGCAAAATTCTCTCCCGTAATGGCCACGACATCACGGAAACGATGGGACGCTATTGGATGCGGAAGGACATATAAATCCCTTTGAGGGGCATTTTCCGCTACCTTCTTGACCTGTAACTTATTATAGTGAGGTCCTGATCCCTTGTTATCATCTCTAGGCATCGTCTTCGAGGTCGTCCTTGAGATCGTCCTAGAGCTCGTCCTAGGCATCGATGTCTAAGTGTCGTCCTAGAAGTTGTCCTTGAGGTCGTCCTAGACGTCGTCCTCGAGGTCGTCCTAGACGTCGTTTTCGAGGTTATCCTAGAAGTTGTCCTCAAGGTCATCCTAGAAGTTGTCCTTGAGGTCATCCTTTAGGCGTCGTCCTACGTGTCGTCTTTGAGGTCGTCCTAGACGTTGTCCTTGAGGTCGTCCTAGAAATCGTCCTCAAGGTCATCCAAGGCGTCATCACCAAGGTCGTCTTAGGCGTCGTCCTCAAGATCGTCCTAGACATCGTCCTCGAACTAGTCCTTGAGGTCGTCCTAGACATTGTTTTTGAGGTTGTCCGAGAGGTCGTCCTTCAGGCGTCGTCCTACGAGTCGTCTTTGAGGTTGTCCTAGACGTCCTCAAGGTTGTCCTAGAAGTCCTCGGCGTCGTCCTCAAGGTCATCCTAGGCGGCGTCTTTAAAATCATACTAGAAGTCGCCCTTGAGGTCGTCCTAGATGTCGTCTTCGATGTGGTTTTAAAAGTCATCCTTGAGGTCGTCCTCGACATCGTCCTTGAGATCGTCCTAGACGTCATCTTCGAGGTCGTCCTAAAAGTCATCCTTGAGGTCGTCCTAGACATCGTCCCCTAGGCGTTGTGCTAGAAGTAGTCCTTGAGGTCGTCCTTTACGCGTCACCCTAGACATCGTAAAAATAACAGCTTCACTTGTCCTCCATCTTCACATGAAGTGGAAGGGCTCTACAATTTTTTTTTATCAGATGCTCCCAAATAGGACGCTGGCCCTAAAAGGAGATCTATGCGAAGGAGGAAAACGGAGCAAGGTGTGGGTCACGATTCTTCTCTGCAAGAATATGGACGCCCGTGACAAGCGGGTGCCGTTTATAATTGGAAAAAGCAAGAAGCTGCAATGCTTCAAAGATGCTCGGGACCTTGAAATCGAATAGACGTCCAACACAAAGGCATGGATGACCCGTGACATCTTCCGCAAATGACCCTATGACTTCGACAAGGCGATGAAGAATAACAGCCGCAGTGTGTGTCTACTGCTGAACAACTGTTTCGCGCACCACATACCAGACCTGGAGCCAACAAATGTGGAGCTGCAATTCTTCTCACCGAACTGTACGTCCCTGATTCAGCCGCTTGACCAGGGCATTATCAATAGTGTGAAGTGCGCGTGTCATTGGTGGCTGATCAATAAGCTCCTGCTCAACCTTCGTTTGAAACGTCATTGAACGTGGACATCTTTCAAGCACTGGAGATGCTCTCTATCTTGGAAAGCCACGACAAACGAAACCATGCAGAACTGTTTCCAAAAAGCTGGGTTTGAAACCCTTTCAGCATCTACAACCAGTATGCTTGGGGAAGCAAGCAGAAGTACTCCCACAGTTTCGTCCTTTCCGAGTGAAGATGAGACGGAGCCAAACCAAGAATCTTTTCTGGGAGCCTGGCAGTCCCTCCGTGCAACGGTGTTCTCCCTCACGATGCCACTCTGGAGGACTACCTCTCTGAAGACTCGTGCATTGCTGCGATGGAAGAGGTGACTGACACTTCCATCGTGCAGGATGTAGTCGGGAACTCGATAGAGGATGACGACGATTTTGAGGCAGACGCCGAAGAAACTCTTGAGACCCCAAGCACTCGGGAAGTTCTTAGTGCAATGGATGTACCGAGGCAGTACATGGGGTCGCACAGGCAACAAGATGCTGTGCAAGCGCTCTGGGCGCTCGAGCATTGTATGACACCACTGCTACTGTCCAACAAGGCACAAGCAAAAGTCACAGACTACTTTTCCCGAAAATAAATGGCCTTTTAGGAGAGTTTTCACACCCGTAAAATGCTTTGGAAATTTTCTGCATGCTAAAGCCAAATTTTTATTTAGCAAAATATCAATGTAACAATGTAAATTGCGAATTTTACCGAGTATGTTACGTCGAGGTTTAACTGTAGCCGTTTTTAACCTTGACCGCAGTTATTGCACGCGAGGGGGCTGTGCCGGCCACTGGTAAGCTGACGCCGACATAGGCAATCAGCAGGGAAGGCGCCAGGATCTTCATAATGGGGGGGCAATGGGGAGGCGAACCAAAATGGGGGGGGGGGGGGGGGGTTGCTCTGAGGTGCTGTCGCTCACGGGCTTATCGAAGATAGCTTATGCGGTGTGCTCATTGAAAATGGAAATGCGGAGACACGAGAAGGAAGACGGGAAGTGGGGGGGGGGGGGCGGTTGAGGGTATCACAGCAGGGACTTCTGCCCCCTGCGCTCAGACTCACAACCAGGTTTGGCTTCCCTTTCTGAGACGGTCC